AGGCTCCCTACAGTTTCCAATATATATCAGTGTTTCAAACTAAAAGCTATTTGAATCCAAAAAAACTAATTTTTTGGAACAAGCCATTGTTTCCTCTTTAGCTTTTCCAAAGGGCAAAGGTTAAAATGCAACCTTAAAGGCTGAAATTCAGTTTCTCGAAAACTACAATGGCGATTTTCAAATAACTTTCAAAAAAGATTCAAAACTTCTTAACAATGTATTTTCTGCAATAAAAAGGTATAGGTCACCGTGGTTATTTGTCCGCTAAGACAGCTTTTTTGGTTGATATAGACCATATAGATGGTGCATGACGTCATGGTAACGTGAAGAGTAGCGATTGTGGGTTAAAATTACTTTTTTACAAAAAATTAGTTTCTTTAGATTCAAATAGCTTTTAGTTTAAAACTCTGATATTATTGGAAACTTAATTCAACGAAATGGACGACCTAAATATTTTCTTTGTATACTGCACATTCTTGAAATATCGTAAGCGGATCACTTACCCATTCATCAATGGAACCAAGCAATGAGCATCAATAATAAATCGACATATCTTTATTAGGCCAAATTTTACTCTATTAAGAAAAGTTCTTTCTGTCTTCATCCTACGATATCGCTGGTCAAATACTGTCATCATTTCTTCATAAAAACCTGCAATTCGCTGAACAAACCCATCTTTAAAGAAATATTGGCATACGAATGGCAATATGTGCAGGAATGATATCAATGTCTGTGTAATGTCGTGAAGATATACAATAAAATCATTTAAGATAGCTAGTGGAAGTTCACTGTGTCGATCTTCTCCAACCTTCACAGGATTGCTGTCTTCACGAGAAACTCCAAGCTCATCTTTAATTTTATCAAGTGTCTCACAAATGCTTGGAATTGTTTCACGCAAATCATCAATATATCTGCAAGAACAGACCAACTTAACACATAATGTTTAAAACTTAATGCATGGAGCCACTGTGTTTAAGTAAAGCACCTTGCAATACTAAAGGCTGTGGCTGTATTATAGGAGTAGGTACAGGTAGATCCCGTTAATAAGACACACTCTTTTAAACTTCAGCTATCACGTATAACTAGCTTTGTTTGAAACACCAATTATAAGTTGTCTGATGTCTCTGCCTGATTGGACCAGTGGGCATTAACAATATCTATTATGTGAAAGTTGAATAACAACGAACAACAAAATATCAAAATATACTCACTTTGGCTGCCTTTTAAAAACGTTTTCCAGCATTTTAGTTAAAAGACTATTATTCTTGCAGTTTTCGCCACCATACAGCGAACACAGATCCATTATTTTAGGAATATCAAACAAGAAATTTTCGTACAATATTTCACCAAATGTCTCTGGTGTAAAGAAGTCTTTCTAAATATAAGAAAAAATCATGCTCTAGTTTACAATATGTCGGTATTCTTGTTCGTTTAAGCAATTGTAAGTCCAATTTCATTTGAAACGATAGTCATCTAATATGTCAGTGACATGAATTTTTAAGTACCTACCGTATGGTACGGAATTATAGTACAGTGCATGAAGTTATTCTTAACGATTAAAGATAATATATTTCTAAAATTAACCCTAGCTGATCAACAATCCAGTATTTCATCTCATCGAAGGTTTTCCAAGGGCACCCACCATTCCAAAATTGGAGGAATGGAGCTCCAACAAGTGAGGAGTGGGACCAGCCCCACCCCTCTAGATTGATGTCCTTGATGTAAGTAGTGAGCACTCACAACAAAAAACTTATAGAAACCTTTGATTCTTTATGAGTTGCTATTCTCAAGTAGACCATGAAAATATTGCGATGAATTTCTTTTTGAAGATTCAAGATCTTATCTGGAAGAAATTTCCATACGTCGTATGACCTACAGGAAATAAAACGTTCATATAAGATTAAATTAATGAGTAGAGGCTGTAGCGGACACTGGGGGGCGGGGACAACGCCCCCCCCCAAATAATTTCCGAAAAAGTTAGGCAAAAAGTTTAAAGAACTAAGATGTTACGTAAGAAATACGGCGACGATTGCACACTATAGTTAGGTTTCACTAAGTGTGCACCATCGTGCAGTAAATGGTGTTGGCAACCAACAATTATCAAGTGAGATCAGAAAGTGATGTTTTACAATAATTATTTTCGTTATATGTTGTAGTCTTGTAATTGATGGCAAGTAACTAAGAGAAATAAGGGTTACTTTCTCCTGTATGTACATGTTCCAGACGACCTCTGAATTTTGGCCGCTCTCTGCTCCCATATTACCCTTACTGGAACCAACCTATTGACGATGTTTCACAAACCTTGGTGATGATTTCAAGAACGAATCAAGACATATATTTATGGATTTATTGAAGATCACCTAAAAGCAAACCAATGAAAATTCAATTCAAATATACACTTAATTAGCTGTACTTTAATACAAGAGTATGTATAGGTTTAATAATACAAGAGAATACTGTAGAGATCTGTAACTATGCATACATGATTCCAAAATCGAGAATGTGACTGACAAAGTAACCGCATAGCTCTCTGAGTTTACCTTTACGTAAAATAGACAATTTGTCGGAACTTGCCCTAAGCCATTTAGTTTTATGGGGTGGGTGCTGATGGGTTGGAAGTGCACCCCTCCAAATGATTGCCCCCCTCCAAAGGCATTTGGCACCCCCGCAAATTACATATATTTTGATTTGATAGTTTCATATTTGATTATTCTTACTACTAAATCGGTAAAATTACCAATATTATGGTCTCAGATCTCGTCATGCAGGCCTAGAAAACAAATTTTGTTAAACTTTTTCCTTGGCCTTTCCGGAAACAATACCCTCTGGCTTCCAGGGTAGGGCGTTGCAACCAGCAGCATCCCCCCTCAGATATTTATCCACCCACCCCCCCGAACGAAAATATGAAAATCCGTCTCTGCCCTAAGCATTATGGTGTGTGCGTTTTTCTCCGGAAATTTAGGTTTTGTAACAAATTCAGGAGGTGTCTCCCTCCCCCACCCCCTCAGCCAGAAAAAGTGAAGGGGGTTTATGTAACGTAACAAGGGACAACGTAAGCGAGTTGTGTGCTTGCATGCATGTCATATTTAAATTATCAATTATTAATTATCAATACGATTAATCGATATTAATCGATTGTTGACAACGACATGTTTACAAATCCACACTTGTATATACTTACTTTTTGCAGGTGGCCAAAACTAGTTTGCAGTTAGCCCCGCGTACATTGTGAGCGAGGCGAGTGGACTGAGGTAGGGTTTGGGGAAGTTTTTGAGAAATTAGGTCTCAAAAGGTCAATGTTGGCTAAAGGAAACATCACTCAACCCTTATGTTTTTATGGAAAAGACATCAAGGTTCGCCATTAGAAAAGTGATGGGGGGGGGGACTTTTTTAACTTGTACGAATATTTTTTTTAATTTTTTGCTTGTGTCGATAATTTTTTTTAAATATAATCCCTTGCACGAATTTTTTTTATTTCAACTGATAATTTTCCCTATTGAAAAGTCTCTGCACGATTTTTTTTTATTTCAACTTATAATTTTCCCTATTGAAAAGTCTCTGCACGAATTTTTTTATTTCAACTTATTATTTTCCCTATTGAAAAGTCTCTGCATGATTTTTTTTTATTTCAACTTATAATTTTCCCTATTGAAAAGTCTCTGCATGAATTTTTTTATTTCCACTTATAATTTTCCCTATTGAAAAGTCTCTGCACGATTTTTTTTCTTTCTGTTTCCCCTGCGCGATTCCCCCCTCCCCCCCTCCCCCCCCCCTCCCATCACTTGCTTTGTAAATGGTTAATTTATTTTGAAAAATTGCTTTTCACATTGTTCTAATTCGTCATCGTGAGAAAGGCTAATTGACACCTACTGTATGTGTAAACCTAATGAGTGGTCATGACTAAACTACATGCAGTAACAGAGAAGACACAAAATTCGAGTATAGTGGATGCAGATCTGCGTGAAGTCATTATCTGGCAGCATCGTTATCTATAATCTATATATTATACCAAAATGGATGACTCGAGCTATAGACTAAATTTTGATCTAGGCAAGAAGAACAAAATCCATCACCACAACTAGAAAGAGCATGTTAAAATTAGTAAAAGTGCAAAGTTTGGCCGCGAAATGTTGTAAAATGCGGAAAATATAGACCTGCGAAATTTGAAAATTTTGTATTAAAGGGTATGAGCATGAAAAAATAAGCCGATTGGCCGTTTAATGCTCTATTCCTCTCTCCTCCGCAGAGGCTTTAATTGGCTATTCGCGCCTTCCTTCGCCTTTCCCTTTGCCGCCTGCGCTCCTTCGCCCAGCGGCTACGCTCGTGTTTCAAGATCCGCCATGTAAAGTGTAGTGAAATGTATCTCATCGTAATATTAAATCCTAAGAAAACTAAAGCCTCTGCGGAGGAGAGAGGCTCTATTCTATCTCATCTAGTTCCGAAGTTATACGCAAAAATGTGCAAAATATAAATTGCTGATTCAGCACAACTTGTGACGTCATTAGTTGGGTAAGTACGTTTAAATAATATTAAACTGAAGCATAGCTCAGTTATTATGGGCCCAAATCAAATGAAATTTTGCATACTGATTGTACATGATGAGACGCAGTGAAAAACACTTCTAATTTTGTTGCCAAGGTAGCAATGTCGTTCCCAGGTCCCTTGCGCCAATTTAATAAAACAGCTTTATTCATGGTACTCAATCTCGTTCCCCGAGCCTGCGATCCTCGGGAAGGAACGCAAGGCTCTGGGATAATCCGTTGCCGGAAGCCAGGAATCCTGGCTAAGATTGAACTACACATTCCATTTCAACGGCCAATCAGATTCCTCCCTGAAACGGATTATCCCAGAGCCTCACGTTCCTTCCCGAGGATTGCAGGCTTGGGGAACGAGATTGCATGGTACTGATAAGGATAAAATAATATCAGAAGTATGTGTACCATACCTATGCATGCCAAAAGTTTACTTGCATGATAATAATTCGAAAATGACATACACATAGATAAATGCAACTAGTTATTCAAAATCAGTGTAAGGGATTTTCCCATGCGTCTCATCATGTACTATTACATCAGAGTACTCACCTTTAATATTTTTCGGGTCAATATTAATATTTTTTAATTTCTCAGTTACTTTTTCCATACATTCTTTAACTGTGGATAAAATTTGACAAGGATCTTGCTCAACCCATCTGAAAGATTTATAAAGGATTTAATACACTATAGAATCAATTTTATAGGAATGATGGACTTTATATTACTACTAACATACAGTAATGCCTACAATACTAACGGTGTCACTGTGGTACAAGTTGGTCACCTTGGCGATTTGGTAAATTGCAAGCCTATAGGCTATAAATTATATAGTGCAATGAAAAGAATGTTCAACTTTTCAACTTTAATTAATTTGAAACATCATTTTCATCATTTTCAAATGTTGTCAGTAAATATTAAATTGACAGCCACTAGTCACTACCTTATACTGTATACACGGGTTGGGATAAAACGCGGATGCGGACGGACGGACGGACGGACGGACGGACGCGGACGGACGGACGGACGGACGCGGACGGACGGACGGACGGACGCGGACGGACGGACGGACGCGAACGGACGGACGGACGGACGCGGACGGACGGACGGACGCGGACGGACGGACGTGGACGGACGTGGACGGACGGACGAATGGGTTAAAATGCGAATGCGGACAAAAATAATAAAATGCGGACTGTTTCATTGCCCTAACATAATTCGTTATTTCGGAGACACAATTCATAGACTTAGTACACGGTAAATTCCAGCTAGAGTTTCAGCCGCTTGCCGAAAATGCATTGTAATTTCATTTTAGTTAGTATATGCAAGGTCATAGAGAATTGTGCTGG